TTTTTTTTTTTTTTTTTTTTTTTTTTTTTTTTTTTTTTTTTTTTTTTTTTTTTTTTTTTTGCAGAGGGATAAGAAACTATTTTATTGCTGGAAAAAGTATTATGAGAGAGGAAGAGGAAGGAGAAAAACTATTTTATCAAACGGCAAGTGACTTCCTAAGACAAACCACCTTTATCTTGCCTCAATGCTTAATACAACAAGGTCACAACTCGCCACCCAACACAATTGCAATACTAGGTATTGCATGAGATAGCAATCAAGTAGATATATGGCAAGCACACAGCAAATAAATAAATACATTTACTGCAATTCTAACCTTGATTAGCCCTTCTTGAAATAATATCTCAATCACCTCCTTCAAAATAGGGAGCAAGCCAGAATGGTGGACACCTATTCCACGCTTCAAGAGAGGCAACATATTTGAAACCTATTTCAAAGCAACGGAAAAGGGAAAGATAATTAATTTTTAAATACAAGCCATATAAATAAACTGAGCCGAAATTCTATAAGGTTAAATACATTTAATGAATTCTCAACTTGGCATCTTATCTGTCAACCAATTGTTTCCCAATCCCAGCATAACCATAAGTTATAGCAACGATACAGCTAGATTTTAAAAATAAATAAATAATAAACCCTCAACTTAGAATTGTGGAGAGGTTTCGATAGCAGAAGGCCAGTAGCTCAACTATTAGAAGTTCCAAGACAAAGAGACAAGGTAAGCAGCATACGGATCTAATCCATTTGTTTTATTTTAATTTATTTTTTTCTATAAGACAGCAAGATTTCATCGAAAAATATTAAAGATTATACAAAAGCAGTAAAAAAAATCCAACAAGAGAAGTCAAAACACATCTAAAGGGGCACCAATCCAAAAAGAATAACACCTAACTCATAGCTATAAATGACCTTAGAAGCAAATGCCCAAACCTCCTTGAAGACCGACAATCCAATAGTTAGCTTTGCATGCAATGATGGAAGATAGAACTCAAATTTCCTTCTCCTAGTTATGTGGTAAACGTAAAATAAATTCAACCAAAAATGCAATAAACAAGAAGTTCAACCTAGTAATGCATATCTGTTTAAATTTCGTATTAATTGTACAATGAAAGAGATTCCAACTTTTCTTATTGACGGAAATCAAGAAAATTCAATTTCCTTCAAATTTCCCTGCTAATTGTAAAATCAAAGAGGTATAACCACATAAATATATATCAACAAAATAAAATGTAATAACCAAATTTCATCTGAGAACCATCCAAGGAATGGAAGTTTTACTGTCACACCCTACCCTAAATTTGCAACCTCGACATTTTATACCAAAAGTTGATGGAAAATGAGCAATCACTTACCTGAGGAAGCTTCTTATCATCATCTGAAAGCATATCCATAGCACTCCAAAAGATGGTTTCTATGCTCGCCTTTTCATCATCACCATTTAGATCCAATCTGGCCATCTGGAACAAACAAGAGGTTAAATTTGACAACTGTGAGAAAAGGGATGACCTAGAGAGATTTCCATTTCAAAATTAGCCAATCGGAGCTTTTTCTTACATTTCTTCTGCCTCTTTGTAGGGTAAATTAACTTTCCCTCGTATTAAAGTTTTTACCTTTTAATGAAAGTAGTTTCATTTTAAAAAAATATTAAAAACAAAAAAACAGTATTGTCTATCTACCAAGATACATATTGGATCCTTCATAGATCATCAAACTACAAGCACGATGATGCCATATCTAACAACTCAAGCAAACAAAAACTATAATCATGCTGACAACCGGTCAAGATCAACTAAGCAACAACAAGAACAGCATAGGACATTACCTGCATTGCAAGAAATTCACATTCTCTTTTGCTAAAACTGAAAAGTATAACTGGATCATATTGACGCTGAATTATCATCTTCACCATCTTAAATATATCACTCTCTTCGCCAGTTTTGCCCAAAGTTAAACTCTTCTGCCACTTCCCATTCTCCTTTTTCTTGTCACCATCACTAGCAGGGACAAGTGCATTTAAAGCTTTTTGAAAGCTATCTTCACGAAAATGTCCCTTTTCATCAACCACCAAATATAAGCCTTCACCCCCGGATGGGAAAACATAGTGTTGAAGAGGTGTTGGTCGAAAGTCAGTATAAACAATATGACATGGTTGTTGGTGGACCTACATCAATACCAATCAACCAAGCCAGCATATTATCAAATCAACAAAACAACCTTACATTTTTTTTTCCTACAAATAACAAAAAAATTGTATTGCAAAGGCCATTAAATCATATAAAATGAAGATCAAAGAGTAAAACAAGGCAAGATATTGATTGGCACAACCAAGACATCAGCGTAATGCCAAAATTTATTTTTTTCCAATATCAATCCTCTCCTCATTTCTTATAAAATAAAAATCATGCACTGAAAGGACAATCAACAAAATTAATATAGGAACTGATAAATCGGAGGGGCATTGATTTTTAGCCCTTCAATATTGGGCCCAAAAATTATTTTCATTTTCAATCAATTATTATAACAAGATTTAACCAAGAAGAGGAGAAAACCTTTGCAACCCAGTCAGCAAATTCTTTTGCATTTGGTACAGTTGCTGAGAGGAAGACAAATCGAGCATTCTTTGGAGCCATGACAATGCTCTCTTCCCAAACAACACCTCGCTCCCGATCACGCATGTAATGTACTTCATCAAAAATAATCCATGCCACTTCCCGTGTTACCTCTGATCCTTTGTACTGCATGCTACGCCAAATTTCTGTGGTCATGACCTAAAGTTGAAGAAATCACTCATTCACCAACAGTTTAAAATTTAGAATTCTATAAAATGAAGTACGCAGTGAGTAACAGGCGCACCAGACAAGAAGCATTTGGTTCAATTGTTACATCCCCAGTCATTAAACCAACATCCGAGAATTCTTCCTTAAATTCCCTATATTTTTGGTTGCTGAGGGCCTTTATCGGTGACGTATATATGACACGCTGTTTATTCCGAAGAGACATTGCAATTGCATACGACGCCACTACAGTTTTACCAGCTGATGTATGAGCAGATACCTGTCAAAGAACTGATTATTTCACTCACTAAGCTCTCTATAATAGAAATTTGTAATATATACATTGACAACCAATCACAACCTAACTAGGGATGGAGACGCATAAAAATGACTGAAATATGACTTTCAAATCGAAGGAGTGTCCATAAGTTACTAAGTCCAATCATATTATTGAAATTACAACAAAACTAACTTCTTGCACTCTTAAGTTGTTGGCAAAACAAATTGCTGTATGGTCGATACTATGCTACACTCTGTGTTCAAAATATAACTGCTGAAAAGCACCATCAAATTTCACCTCCGATTCAATTCTTGTGCTTCAAACTGAATATACAATGCACTTAATTAGTAACTGAAACACATATTAGAGACATGTTTAGAAGTGATTTTAAATCACTCTTTGTCAGGTTAGTGTTCCACTAAGAAGAACCTTATATTTTCATTATTTTACACTTAAACTTCCTAAGAACTATCCCAGAGGGATGATAAAACCCATCAATGAACTCAAGCATTGACCAAAGAAACAAATGAAAAGTTGAACAAAGTTACCATGACAGATTCTCCATTCTCTAAGCACTTGATAGCCTCAGACTGAAAGGGGTCCAGAGAGAAAGGGAACACCTTAGCCGGTTCCAACTTCCCTCCAGTCGAAGGGAGACTCAATGATGGGAGAGGATTAAATGAACCCTCGGGGTAGGACACGTCATGAACACACGCAACTGGTTCGTCTTCAACCATGGCAGGGGCATTAGCTTTGTGGTGCTTCGGCGAAGATTCTCTGGGCACATTTTGACCCACTTTTCTCTTCGAAGAGCCCATGGCAGTTTGAATTGAACACGGAAGATCAAACCCACTCAATAAGCTGCAGCAAATCTTTCGTTTATCCTCGTTTATGTGAACTGCAGAGGAAAGAAGTCAACGAGCGTCTACGAAACTATATTACGGTAAACTTGTAACCAAATTGGCGAACAGAGTTTTGGATTTTGTGGATGAAAAATAGAGTTCCAAAAGCACACTCTTTCAAGGGTTTTTCTCTCACCATAAACCCTAAGAAAGATGGTGGGCTAACTGTTAACTAAAATTTTGTGCAAGTGTTCTTCCATACCAATGTTTTAATATCTTTAGTATATATATAATAAAATAACCATCACATAAGAATTTTGTGAACTACGCTATCAAAGAGGGGTTCTTTCCCGAGTGTGTATTTAGAGTCTTTATATTTCACTATGTAATCATATCTCGAACCCATTTTCCTATTTGTAATTAAATTTCAAAGACTATATAAAGTCTTCTCTTATTTCATTATGAGCATCATATTTTGGAATTGAAATGAACCGACTTTGTTTTTAGTTTTGTTGAGATCTAAGTTGTTCATTTTGCAAATTCAAGTAGTTCGAATCACGAGTTTAGAAACAAGTTTTCTAAACTTTTGATCTTGATCATCAAAGTAATCTATTTCAAAACATTTCCTTGGATGGATCCCTTATGTTTTTGGAGTTCTTACATATTTTAGGTTTAAAGGTCTTGTTTTTCAACGAAGTTGTTAGATCAAATTCACATAGTTACATAATTTTTCATGCATAGAAGAAATGAATTACATTTCGTAAGATCATATTCCTCGCTTCTTATTTGTTCGAATTTTTAAAATTGTAGAAATATTGAAATGGCTATAAAAATCACTCACCCAGGTAAATTAATAGACAAGCCTCACCAGAGTTTATAACTCAACCAAGATTAAGATGTATATGATTATTTTGTGAAATATTAATTTTCTCCGTTAAAAATTTTATAACGAAGATTATTCCGTACTCAAATCTTATACTATTATAGATGATACCCCACTCACATGTCTTCACATGAATAATTTGTATTAGATCATTTGTAACCATTACAAAGTGGTCGTGTCAATAGTATAGAACTTTTAGATCATTAATTAAATATGATACTCGTGAATGTCAATCACATAATGTTCAAGATTACACTAAACATCTTGACTTTTTCATAGAACCGATAATATGAAACTATAAATAAAATAATCAAAATTATTAGTAAAAAAATAAAAAATTAATTACGAAGATTTAAAGTATAATCCCAAAAGGGTTGGGGTTGGATCGTGTGGGCAAATAAGCCTAAACTCGAACTTGGTCCACAACGTGTTCTTGGACTTGACGCACAAGCTAGATTTGGACACAACTTTCATTCTAAAAACATTTTGTCCTAGGAAGAGCTCCCATAGTTAAGTTGCTTCTTGGAAATGATGGTTCTCCCATTCCCACTTTGACTAATACTAATTCATCACCTCTCTAATTAAGAATCTTATAGGTTTCTCTTCATGTTCAAGGGTAGGGTTGAGTAGGTTTCTCATCATGTTCAAGTGTAGGGATTGTTGGATGATGAAAGTCTCACATCGACTAATTTAAGAAATGATCATGGGTTTATAAGTGAGAAATACTAACTCCATTGGTGTGAGGCCTTTTGGGGAAGCCCAAAGCAAAGCCATGAGAGCTTATGCTCAAAGTGGACAATATCATACTATTGTGGAGAGTTGTGTTCGTCTATCATGGTATCAGAGTCATGCCCTAAACTTAACCGTGCCAAATCCTCAAATGTCGAACAAAGGACTCCGTCCGCTCAAAGTGGACAATATCATACCATTGTGGAGAGTTGTGTTCGTCTATCATGGTATTATGGTATTAGAGCCATGCCCTAAACTTAACCGTGCCAAATCCTCAAATGTTGAACAAAGGACTCCGTCCCCGACAGTCAAAAAATGACTAAGACTCCAAAGGGGATGTGTTGGATGATGAAAGTCCCACATCTCTTAATGGGTTTATAAGTGAGGAATACTCACTCCATTGGTGTGAGGCCTTTTGGGGAAGCCCAAAACAAAGTCATGAGAGCGAGTCGTGTTCGTCTATCAAAGCAAACCCATGAGAGCTTTATGCTCAAAGTAGACAATATCATACTATTGTGGAGAGTCGTGTTTGTCTATCATAGATGAGTCTGTCATATACTTTCTCAAGGACGACAAGTATGATAGTAGTCTCAATCTATATGCTATTGGACATATTATTTATACAACTTTGAATGGTCGGTCGTACCAATGGTTTAACCATCGTAGCTTTTCAAATCTCAAGAACACTTTCAAAGGAGTCACTTTTGGAAACATGTGGGTCCTCCCACTAAATTTTAAATTTATGCACCTCGTGTTTTTGCATAGCTTTTGCGTCTGTCAAATGCATAGCTTTTATGTTTGCCATATGGTATTTGCATTTTTCCCTTTTTATCTTTTTGACCGATATAGCTGAATCATGGATCGTTGTCTAATTGGAACACCATGGAATCTCACTATCTCTGGCATGTACAATCGTGTCTAACGTGTTTCTCAATAGGTAGGCTTTTCTAAGTGAAAGTGAACAAACTTGGTGGGTCCATTGATGATGACCTAAATTAACGTGAAATCTCAACTTCTTTACAATTGAAAATGAGAGAGGGATACAAAATGCTACAAATGACAACTCATAAAAATCAAATTAAATTACTGTCCTGAGCCGACACCCTTCTATGACAGCACAGCTCTCAAGCACTTCTCCACCTCGATAGGTAACCTTTGATCATTTGAAAAAAAGAAGGAGAAAGGGTGAGTATAAAAATACTCAATAAACAATTTAGTTTGTAGACTCTCGTCGCATCCTTAACCTAATAAGTTACAATGGATTTTTTTTGGGCTCTAAGAAGTTTAAGCCTAATTCAAGATTTTTTTTCTCATTTGCTTCGGTTGATGTTACTAATAATGACAATTTCTACCATTATTTTGACATTTTAATCTTACATGTATTTCAAGATCGTGACAATTTTCATTTTTTGTGTCGTATTTTTGAAAACCATAATGAGAATAAAATCTATATCAATATTAATATTTAAGGTACATAAATAAATAAATAAAATATAAGGACTAAAAATGATATTTATATACCATAAAAATATAGAATTTTGAGGGGAAAAAGGGCAATTTTTTATAATACGTAAGAGCAAACGTCACTTAGATATTTCGCACTACAAATTTCAGGCGGTTTTTTTTCTCTTCACAGAAATCAACCCAAGTTCTTTTGTTAATCTTTGCCCATTATGGATAACACCGGTGCCAAGCGCCGCCGCGTGCTATTGATATCCTTCCCTGCTCAAGGCCACATCAACCCTTCCCTCCAGTTCGCCAAGCGCCTCACGCGCCACCTCGTCCATGTCACTTTTGTCACCTCCCTCTCCGTTTACCGCCGCATGTCCCAAACCCCAACGCTCCCTCATATCTCCTTCGCCTCCTTCTCCGACGGCTACGACGACGGATTCAAACTAGCAAACGACGACCCCATTCGCTTCAAGTCGGAGATGGAGCGCCTCGGATCCCAAGCGATAAGGGATATGATTACAACAAACGCGGAGGAAGGCCAGCCCTTCACTTGCGTCGTATATTCCATACTCTTACCATGGGTGGCTGTGGTGGCGCGTTCCCTCCACCTCCCTTCAATTCTTCTCTGGGTTCAACCCGCCACCGTTTTTACTCTGAACTACCATTACTTCAATGGCTACAAAGACTCCATAATCCAGAGCATTCTCGATGACCCTTCAAGAACAATTCAATTACCTGGACTTCCATTATTAACTGCCCATGACGTTCCATCGTTTCTCCTTCCTTCCAATGTTTATGAGTTTGCCTTCCCCATATTTCAAAAGCTATTTGAATTACTGGCTCAACAGACCAATCCCAAGGTTCTAGTCAACACGTTCCAGGCCTTGGAGCAGGACGTGGTGCGAGGGATGGACAAGATCCATTTGGTGCCCATTGGACCCTTGGTTCCGTCGGCTTTTCTGGACTGTGAGGACCCTTCAGATGCCTCTTTTTGCGGCGATATGTTTCCATGTAGTCGTAACAACGATGATTACATTACTTGGCTTAACTCCAACTCCAAAGCAGCTGTGGTTTATGTATCGTTTGGAAGCATTGCGATGCTGTCCAAGGAACAGAAAGAGGAGATTGCAAGTGGGCTGTTGAGCTTTGGACAACCGTTTCTTTGGGTGATTAGAGATGAAGATATGGGAGATCATACATTGAGTTGCAGGTAAGGTTTAAAATAAAGGTTGGAATCACGCATCTCCATGATCGTATGATAGTCCACTTTGGTTATAAGCCCTCATCACTTTGCAAAATGTATTCGTTACTTATAAACGCATGATCATTACCTAAATTAGCCAATGTGGGACTCCATTCTAATAATTTTCAACCATCCTCCCCTTGATCAAAGTACAACCTAGAGCCTCTCTTGAGGCCTATGGAGCCCTCGAATAGCTTCCCCTTAACCGAGCCTCGACTACTTCTCTGGGGTCCACGAACATTTTTTAGAGACTCTCTTCAGGCTTGTAGAGCCCTCGAACACCCTCCCCTTGATCGAGGCTCGACTCCTTCTCTGGAGCCCTACCTTTCGATACTTCAGCCACTTTTGAGAGTCTCTTTTCGAGCCTATGGACCCTTGAACAAAGTACACCCTTTGTACACTTTAGTCACTTTTGATTACCCCTTCTGACTCACAATTCTTTGTTTGACATTTGAGGATTCTATTGACATAACTAAATTTTAGGGCATGACTCTGATATACCAGGTTAGGAATCATGAATCTCCACAATGTGAGATGGCATGACATTGTCACTTTGATCCTAAGCTTTTATACCTTTGCTTTGGGCTTCCCTAAAATGTTTCATACCAATAAAGATGTATTCCTTACTTATAAATCTATGATGATTCCCTAGAATACGAGACTCTCTCCCAACCATCTTCAAAATAATTGGCTTTTTTGTGGGTTGAAATTATATAATTTTAATTACAGGGAGGAACTAGAAGCGGTAGGAAAAATAGTTACATGGTGTTCACAACTAGAGGTTCTGTCAAGCCCAGCCACAGGATGTTTTGTAACGCACTGCGGATGGAATTCGACGTTGGAGAGTTTGGTTTGCGGGGTTCCGGTGGTGGGGTTTCCGCAGTGGGCGGATCAAGGAACCAATGCAAAGATCATTGAAGACATGTCGGAGACGGGAGTGAGGGTGGAGGTGGGCATGGATGGCATGGTTAAGCGAGAAGAGATAAAAAGGTGCTTGGAGGTGGTGATGGGAGATTCAAACAAAGGGGAAGAGATAAGGAAGAAGGCCCTGAAATGGAAGGAGTTGGCCAAGGAAGCTGCTAGGGATGGTGGCTCATCACATGCCAACTTCAAGGCTTTTGTGGACCAACTTTGTTCTTAACAATATTTCAATCATGCAATTTGATGACAGAAATATTTTTAAATATTTCTTCTCATCATCTCGTTTCAGTCCACAAGTATTTGAAGTTGATGTCATTCAAATTTTTGTTTAGGATATTTTCATTGCTTTTAGGTGGGATGTTAACAACAAATGGTAATAAAATAAAAATTAACTGGTATAAATTTATGAATAAAAAATTAAAATATGGAAAGATTAGATTAACATGAATAATTTCTTTTTGTAAATTTGAACCCAATCAAATTTTTTTTTTGTATGATACCTATTTAAATAACTATTCTTTTGTAAAAGATGGTAGAAAAACCACTTTTTGTACCTTTGAGTTCTAAAAATGTATTTGCTGATAAAAAAGAGTTTGAAGAAAAATAATTGAAAGAAAAACAAGAGTGAGTTGGAGAGGTTAGTAGGTTTTCACAAAAATCAATCTTTGTACTTTTTATGTAGTTTGGTCTCTAACGGTAACAATTTGTCTTTGTCTATTGTGTTTCAATCTCTTTTATAGGAATTTGAAGACATGTTTCAAGATGAAGTGAACTACTTCCCATGAGAGATACTGAACATCAAATAGACTTCATTCTGGGTTCTGTCATTCTTAATAATCCACCTTATAAGTCAATCAAACTGAGACTAAAGAAATTCAAACGCAAGTGGAGGAGCTCATGGAGAAGGGCTATATACCAGAATGTTTGAGTCCATGTTCTATACGTGACTTGTTGGTGCCAAAAAAAGATGAAACTTGGCGCATGTGCATGAATTATAAAGTCATCAACAAAATCATCACAGTAAAGTATCGACATTCTATCCCTAGGCTAGACGATATGCTTGATTTATTGCATGATTCATGTCTTTTTATAAAGATTATTTTGAAATCTGGATATCATCAAATTAGAATGCATGTAGGAGATGAATGAAAAACAACTTTTAAAATTAAGTTTGGATGGTATGAATAGCTTGTTATTCCTTTTGGGTTGCTTCTAATACATCTATGCGCTTAATATATAATGTTTCGAGAAAATACATGAGAAAGCATGTTGTTGTTTATATTGATGATGTTATAATTTATTTGAAGATTTTGTTTGAGCATGTGTAGCATGTTAAAGTTAGTTTTGATTACACATAGAAAAGAGAAATTTAATTTTAATAATGGTAGTTTTTGCATGGAAAAAGTTCGCTTTCTTAACTTTATAGTTGGTCAAAAGAGTAGAAGTAGATAAGTAGATAAGGAGAAAGTTAAATTCGATTTGCCAACACCAAAAAATGGGAGTAAAGTTAGAAGGTTTTATGGGTTACCTAGCTTCTATAGGAGATTTATAAACGATTTTAGTACCATAGTTGCACCATTGAATATTTAGTGAAAAAATAATGTTGTTTTTAAATGGGAAATGCGAGAGAATGCATTCAATTTTCTTAGGAAGAAATTAAGCAATGCACCATCATTTTTGTTTTGGCTAGCTTTGATAAAACTTTTGAAATTGTATGTGATGTATGTAGTTTGTTTAGGGTTTAGGATTTAGGATTTAGGGTTTAGGGTAAGCAAGGTAAGGATAATATGGTAGCTGATGTGTTATCTAAAAGTTACCATCTCTTTACTTCACTGAGTGCAAAAAAATTTGAATTTGAGCATACTACAAAATTATATACAGATGACCAAGATTTCAGAATTTATGCCTCTTGCCTTGCAAAAAAAAAAAGTTGGTGAACACATGGTGGTAGGACATCTTATGATTAATAAAGTTTATAAGATGTTGCATAAACACTTCTTTTGGCCAAAGATGATGCACGATATCCATAAGTTTTAGACCAAGATGTTTTAGACACAAAGAAACTAGTTCAACCAGATGGATTGTGTACTCCTTTGAATGTACCTAACAAATAAAAGATTGTGTTTTTGTTGTGGTATCGATTTATTAAAATGACTCATTTCATGCTACAAAATGAATCATACAAAACATGCGGCTGACTTCTTCTTTAAGGAAGTAGTTTATGGATTTAATCTACTTGATTTGCTTCCTATTCTTTCGGATATTTGTGTGAGTAAAGCAAACAGATTTCTTTCTAATATTTTTTTTGAGTGAAACGTAACGACTTCTTTTTAAGTGAAGCATGATGGATTTCTTTCTAATACATTTCTTTCTAACATTTTTTTTAGTGAAACAGATTTCTTTCTAATATTTTTTTTGAGTGAATGAGTTAGATTTGATCAAAACATTGCAAAAGGAGGCTATGTTTTGAGTGAAACATGCAGATTTGATCATGTTTTTTTTCCTGATTCGAGGATAGTTGGTCTGAGGATTAAGGTTGTCTTATCACAAACATTAAATACTCAAATTTTCAATTCTTTTTGTTTTAATAACTTTCTTAAATTTTCTTCCCAAATTAATAACTACTAACCATTATGTAAACTAACCATTTTTCTAAACTGGTTCAAGTTATTAACTACTAACGATTAAGGTAATAACTTTATTTAGTGTGTCAAGATTATTGACTCACAATCTCTACCGTAGGCTTGACTTTGCTCAAGATTTTTTAGTCCAGGTAACTCCTTCATGTCTACAAATTTAACCTTTGCTAGGGCCTTGGTGAAAATATTCGGGTATGGCTCTTTAGTGCATATGTACTCCATAGTGATCTATCTTCTCAACACACTCATGGATAAACTTTCACGTGGCATAAACTTTCACCTCTTCTCTTCCCCTCTCATGGGAATTTATCACTCTCAAAGCTTATAGAAATTAAGGACAAACTTGGTCCACAAAAGCCTTGAAGTTTGAATATGAAGAACCGCCGTGGGCAGTGGCTCCCTTAGCCAACTCCTTCCATTTCACCACATTCCTCCTTATCTCTTCTCCTTTCTTTGAATCTCCCATCACCAACTCCAAGCATCTCTTTATCTCCTCCCGCTTAACCACGCCATCCATCCCCACCTCCAACCTCACTCCCGTCTCCGACATGTCTTGAATGATCTTCGCATTCGTCCCCTGATCCGACCACTGTGGAAACACCACCACAGGTACCCCGCAAACCAAACTCTCCAACGTCGAATTCCATCCACAATGTGTTAGAAAACATCCTGTCGCTGGCCTTGATAGAACCTCTATTTGTGAACACCATGACACTATCTTTCCTAAACCTTCCAATTCCTCCCTACAACTCAACGTATTTACTTCTTCAATGTCTCGAATCACCCACAAAAATGGTCGTCCACAGCTTAATAACCCTCTTGCTATCTCCTCGTTTTGGTGCTTCGATAATGTCGATATACTTCCCGATGAGACGTAAATTACAGACCCTTTAGGTTTTGAGTTCAGCCAGTCGATATAACTGTTAAAGAATACGAACAAAACAAAATTTAAACTCAACCCTAACTCAATAAACTTAAAATTATCTAATACGGTAAGTAAGAAATACATCTTCATTAGTGTCGAGCTTATGCTCAAAGTGAACAATATCATACCTGGTAGTAGATTGAAATAGATCACATCGGGAGGAGGCTTCTGATGGAATCAATGGTCCGATGGGTATCAAATGGAACTTGCTAATCGCTCTAAGTGCGTTGTGCTCCAATTCGTCGAATGTGTTGATTACAATCATTGGGTTGGTCTCTTGCTCGAGTAATTCAAATTGCCTCCGAAATATTGGGAGAGCAAATTCATAAGCATCTGAAGAACCAAAGAACGAAGGAAGATCACGAGCCGTTAACAATGGAAGGCCAGGTAGTTGAATAGTTGCCAAAGGATCATCGTATACGCTTTGAATTATGTCATGATAACCATAGTTGTAATAGTAGTACAAAGCAAAAACAATAGCTGGTTGAATCCAAAGAAGGACCGCCGGAAGGTGGAGGGAACGCGCCACTGTAGCCACCCACGGGAGGAGTATAGAATAAACAATGCAAGTGAAGGGTTGGCCTTGTTCCGCACCCGCCACAATCATATCCTTAATAGCTTGAGACCCACGTCGCTCCAGCTCCGACATGAAATGATTGATGTCGTCCCCTTGTTTGAAACCGTCGTCATAGCCATCGGAGAAGGAGGCGAATGACACGTGAGGCAGCATCGGGGTTTTGCCGATGCGGCGATAGGCGGAGAGAGAGGTGACGAAGGTGACATCAATGCGGCGGCGCGTGAGGCGTTTGGCGAATTCGAGGGCGGGGTTGATGTGTCCTTGAGCAGAGTATGTTATCAAGAGCATACGGTGGCGGTGGGGTGCTGTGTTATCCATGTTGATAAGATGCAAGCAGTTGGTTGGTTGAGGTATAATTTATAAGATAAAAGGTGGGGAGAAGTTTATAAACAACGTTTGCTGTGACGTAATTTATCCAAACTTTGTGTTCTATCAAAATGTGCACATGACGTTTGCTATGACGCATTAGTTCAGTGTTCCAACTCAATTTCTTTTGTTGAAGTAGCTTGTGGTTCTGGTTTCAGGCACGTGGGCAGACAAAATTGGACACTCCTTTATGTTTTTTATTTGTCTTCTATTTATGTTTAAATAACTTTTATTTATGTTAAAGGTAGTTGTTCGTGAATATTAAACTTTCATAAAACATAATTTTTATTTTAAAATATAATCAAGAAATGATTTCTTTTGAAAATAACTTCAAGACTACACAATAAAAGACTATTTAAAATAAATAAACGTTTAAATTAAAAACATTTTATTCTAGCCTAATTCTAAGAAAATAAATGCAACTACTCTACGCATGTGCAATGGTCTCGAGTTGCGATGTTGTTGTCAGTCGTATAGAGATGTGCTGCCTTTACCTGAAATGGAAGTAGCACGTGACTCGAGTATTTAAAGAAATACTCAGTAAGTGACTCCACTATTGTGGTTAAATGCAAACACATGCAATTTCATGAATGAGACCTATCATAACAGTCTTTTTTCCTACGACGGCTATCCTAACGGGTAACTTGGATATGTAATTAATTTCCTACACACGACTCACACGTGCAAGTATTGACCCACCAATCGGTTCGTACCCCTCCTGGGCCCCTTTTCTTGTTGGGTGAGTATTCTCTGGTAACTCTTGATACCAGACACCCGTTAGAAATAACAGTCATCAAGGTAGAATTATGTCAAACACATGATTGTTCTCCTCCCTAGTAGTTTACATGTCCATATCATTGTGAAGGAATAGGGGTATTGCTCAATGCATGAACACACAATAATGTTGTTAGGATCGCACAACAACGCACACACTCGATTTAAATGTATTGATGAGTATGTATAAGAGAAAATACATAGAATAGAAAGTACATTTTCAAAACAGTACGAAGGAAGGAGGGGATATATATATGATTCAGTTTAATATATATAGCCTTACCAGATTTAGCCATCCTATTTACTTTACGGAACAGTTGACACAACTATAAATAATATAGCCATTTAAAATAATATAGCCATTTAATATATATAGCTTTACGAGATATAACAGTTGACACAGCTATAAATGAGAGAAGGCTACATAACCTAACAAATGCATGAAGTCCCAACATTTTTCTATTTTCATTATCTCTTTTAATACAACCTTGTTTCGTACCTATCATAACATTTTTCATATCATTTATCATATCTTTCATGCAGACGTTGGGGTTGTAATTTATGCTAGTTCGTTATTTTACATGTCAATTATATCATATCATTCAGATTACATAAATATGTCATATAATAACGTTCCATGCTTCCAGACATTACAACTTTTATCATCTACATATCATGCCATAACATATCGCATCACACTATATCATATCATAAACATGTCAATTTATTTATGTGAAGATTTCATGTGAGCATTAAAAACTTTGCAGGAGTAGAATCTTAGAATGATATATATATATATATATATATATATATATATATTTTTCATTTTTATTAAAGATCTCATTTTCTATTATTACTATCTTAGGGAAGATATTGTTACTCTCGTAGGAAAGAATTTGATGGAGTTATTTTAAGTGGCAGTATTATGTACTTTCTTGCATTTTCTTTCTCTATGCATGTACTGTGCTTTATCTGTTCACCGATATTCTTGACTAATTTTTAATCTATTCTTACTCTCAAATCTTTTTTTTTTATCTTTCTCCTTTGTATTTTGTATTTTTTTTATTTATTTATAAAAAACAAAATGTTCAAGTAATGTAAGAATTTCATAAAATAAGTAAGTGGGATTTAAAATGTATGAAGTAACTATGTATAACATGTACAAACTCCTTGATGCCTCGAAACACTCCCTTGTGACTTCAAGACTCCAGCACGCACTCCTACTTTGATCTGTGGCCTTACTCACCTGAATATATATATATATATATATATATATATAAATACTCATTAAGCAAGCTACTTAGACTTTTTTCGCATCTTTATCTTAGTAGGTATCCACGACCTTGTCTCAGGGTTCTAGGGAGTGCAAACTAAGCTGCAACTCTCTTTCCTACAACTCAGATGACTTACTAAACTTATGCAGTGGATGATCAGTATCTTGGGATGAGGCGCGACCTCACGAGTAAAACTGAGGGGGGAGTATGACTAGATCTGAATCAGTATCCCTCTCTAAACATCATCCATGGAGTTAGCTAACAACCCTCCCACGAGGCCATACTACCAATAAAATTGGGGGGTTGTGATCCCCATTGTGCCAGTCAGCTACTAGTTCGTCCTACATGGTCCCACGCTCGCCAGCTCAGGGAGAAGTTTCTACGACTTAGGGGTCCTGTTTAGGGGACCCCTTAACTATCACTACTAGGTTTAGGCACAAATCACACTACCTTGTTCGACTCTTCCTGGCTCAACAATCTTGGTATTGGAGTATTGTCTTGACAGTACGGTACCGGAACAAAGAGAGGGAAGTGGAGGTTTTGGTGACACTATCCACACTGCTCAAGTCCGTTGGGCTACCTCAGTTGTCTTCAATTACCGTGGTATCCTACTAGGTATTTCTAGGGCGGATTCTCGCTCAAGGTCTTTCAAACTTGTCGTGATCTAGAATACTAGGGTCTGGGTCCACTAGTCATCCTTCTGCGAACCCGAATGCATGGTATTCTAGAGGTATCCCATTCTAGGTCTTTGTCTAGCCTACTTAGTGTCAAGCACCTTAGTCTAGGCTCTTCGTTTCTTCCTATTCTCAACAAAAAAGACAATACAAGCAATCATGCACTTGAGTTAGCATGCGGCAGTTCATGTAATATTAACAAACATGCTCGACAGGAAGATAACGTCCATCTTCACTCGGAGAGCAGATTTCACAAATTTTCCTTCCTTCTTTCACATGCATACAATATCACAATCACATCCTAAAGTGAATTAGGTACCATATTTAATTTTTTTTCATGGCCTATAAACTAATATACTAAGTCTGGCTGGCTCGGATTCAATTTGATAACATGCTTGCTTATTCCAAGCAGTTCCTACAAGTATTGCACATGAGAATCAAAATGATTATTTACATGGTTAACGCATGCCTTCTCGAACTTGAATTTCTTGCCAGAGAGAAATTCCAAAAAGTCTAAAATTTTCTTAATGGGTCCTAATTCACATATAAGTAATATCAGTATTGAAATCGGGGCAAAAAATAAGCAAACAGAGACCAAACGGAGGAAAAATGGTAACTCATGCTCCTACACGTGCTCCTCACGCGCTATGAAGGGGTTCTACGAGCAATCCGCCGTGCGTGTTTGATCTCTGAAGGGGTTCAAGGTTTTTCACTCAAAAAAAACTTGTCGGATCTACTTAAAACCAAATCGGAAAGCCATGACTGTACCTTGTTTGATCTTTGGTTTTCTTGCCTTAATGAGCGAATCCACCACCCAAACTTCTCTTTCAACACGGAGAAGAGTTCTATTGAGGCTTTCTTGGCTCGGATCGACTTCCAATGGCAGATTTGGGGCGACATGCTTCTCCTCTTCTTCTTTCCTAAACCCTAATTTCTTCCTTTTTCTCTCTTTTCTTTTTCCCAACTATTCATACGCTCAAGTAGGAGTAGGGGCAAAATGACCGTTTTTTCCCTCATTTGACTTTGACGATTTTTTTAATCTTACAACCATCCTTGCATGGTTTCCTTCTTCATCGACACGAGTCCCAGACTCCTCGGCCTACAATAAAATCCCATGATTTTATTATAGGTATATATTTCAAATCTTATGAAGAAAATCAAGGGTCATCAATTACCTCCTAAACTCGATGTTATATGACCCAACCAATATCTAACTCGCGAGCTGATAAAAAATGTTCAGTTTTCAAAAAATTCAACCCACCTCAAATCCAAACACAAAAATGATTTGGATTATGGAGTCCCAATTGATCCAATTTTCGAACCATATCCAAAAAAAAAAATAATAAAATAAAATTCAACACTTTCAGATTACGAAGATAAGTCAAAGATCTAGCTTCCACCTTTTTCCAATAATGAATTGACAACCTCATTTTTGTATGCAAAATTCCATGAACCTCCCTTCATATTTGATTCCTATAAATAAATCTTTCCCAAAAAACAAGAACAACCCAATTAACCATAGTGGTTTAAGATGAGAAACCACCACTTCCTTCTCGTATGCTTCCCTTCCCAAGGACACATAAACCCTTCCCTCCAACTCGCCAAGCGACTCATACACCTTAACATTGAAGTCACCTTCGCCACCACCATCGCCGCCGCCCGCCGCATGAACAACGCCCAACAAACTCCAACAACAAAGGGCTTGTCTTTCGCTACGTTCTCAGACGGCTTCGACGACGACAATCTCAATCTCAGCGCCAACATCACCCACTTCTTCTCTGAACTCAAACGCTGCGGCTCTCAATCTCTCACCAACCTCATCACATCCGCAGCCAACAAAGGCCGCCCCTTCACTTTCCTAATCTACGGCCTCTTACTCAATTGGGCAGCCGATATCGCCACTTCCTTCAACATACCCTCAGCCCTTTTCTTCGCTCAGCCTGCAACCGTCTTAGCTTTGTACTTCCATTACTTCCATGGCTATGAAGAATCCATTTGCAACAAACTCCAAACCCCATCTTCGTGCATAGAATTACCAAACTTACCATTGTTTACAACTCGTGACATGCCATCTTTCTTCTCCCCATGTGGGCCTCATGCGTTTATCATTCCTCCAATGAGAGAGCAACTCGAATTCCTCGGCGGACAAACTCAGCCAAAAGTCTTAGTCAACACATTCGACGCGTTGGAAGCTGATGCCTTGCGAGCCATCGATGAGTTGAAAATAATTGCAATCGGACCCTTGAT